TCTGTGAATTTTTACCAAGTTTGACCACGTTTTATCTCATTTTATCTCAAAATACCCTATATTGCAATTTACCAAAAAATATTCTCCTTACATTCTATTTTAAGAATATTTAAATACTTTTAATTAAATATGAAGGAAACATGTTCGTTTTTATAGTCATACATGCCCCGACAGTAATGTTCCTGCAGCAAAAACTTTTCACTCCCCCGAACTTTCCATTTGCTTGTCCTCGAGCAAAAACAAGAATAACACTCCCAAACAAGCAACATGCTAAAAAGATGAACGAATCACAATTCAAATCTTCTAAGTAAATGAGTCATATTTGTCTTTGGAAGAACTCCACAAGCTAAACCTCATAATCTTAATCTCAAGCCAATATGTCATAAACCATTCTTTGTTTTGAAAATAAAAATGATTCTAAATTATCTTTCTTTCTAAAAGGAAAAACTTTTCACAAAACCAAGAAATTTGCACACTTCCATTTTGTTTAAAAATTTTACACCAAAAAGACACGTGGACCGGCTACTAGCCCATGATGTTTTCAGCGCTCTAACATCGGCTTCCAACCACAGCCACTCATATAGAAACTTTTTAGGTAGTACCCTGATCATAAAATGATGTCAACAATAGATTTCATGAAATCACCTTAGTATAGAGGTTACTGCCCCTGAAAGATGCTAACGCCACCTATTTAAAGCTAAATGAGCGTCTACAATGGTACTCACAAAAATTAAATTCATTTTCTTACTGCTCTTATTTCTTACCACTCGTCTCACTTTATTTTTCTTTTCCCCCACTCTTATTTTCTCTCTCAAGACTCTTTTCTGGACTTGATTTTTCCTTGGACTCTGTTTTAATTTTTTCTATCTTTGGACTCTTTTTTCAATAAGACTCTTTAATTTATATCAAAATATTAGTTCCGGGAGCTCTTATTTTAGTGCATAATTCCTTCTAGCTATTTTAACTTTAAATCGATTGATGATACTGTTATGATTAAGTTAATGTATATGTTTGATTTAGGGCACATCATGCTTATTTCTAGTGTATGTTGGTGGATGCGCGCATACATGCCTACTTGAGTCACAGTACGTTCTTTTTATATGTTTTCAATATATATTATGAACCTTTGTTTATGTCTTTTCAATTCACCTTATGAGCGTCCAACCACCCAAACTTTGTATTCCTTTGCTGAACTCATTAAACCCAATATATCTTGGATCACATCGGCAAAGTATGGCGAGGTTAGTAACTTAACATCTAGGAGCTTTTGTGATAATTTGGTTTTCTGTAGGTATAGTTTAAGAATTATACGATTATGAGATCAACAAGAGGGATCACCACTGATGGATTGAGCTATAGAAACAGTGGAAGTTTCATTCCTCTAGTTAAGTTGGTGTATCTAAAGCAATAGAACAATGTAAGCTCAAAACTCTTATTCAAGTTAAATTTGCTTCTTCACGTAGGATTCTCCTGCTTTTTATATTGTTATTTAATTTCAGCTGCATGATACCTTTAACTTCGTATTGATATGACCAATTTTTGTCTTTTTAATTTGATGATTGTCTTACTATTTGATGAACTTACAATACTCTTGAGCAAGGAATTGAGTTTGATTTTCATCCAAATTTGGATTTCCACAACTTGACTTCTTGTGTTGATTTCCTTTTGTAGAATTTTGCTGAATTTCATAACCAACAAGCATGTTAAGCCTCTAGCAGACAACGTGTCATTATATTTGAATACAATGCCTCTAAATGCATTTATTTATTTGTAGGTGATGATGTGAAGGAAACGAAGCAAATCCATCAAAATACATAACAACTTCAAAAGTAAATAATACATAGTTCAAGAAGAAATTGATGAGGTTCAAATAGAATGGGCAACTTTTGTTGGAAGCTTTGTCTAGACTTACTTATAAATTCGTTAATTTTGTCTGTTTGATGTTTTAGTAGTTGGGTTACTTTGTCTCTGGTCCTACTACAATTATATTACATATGTAAAAGTGTTGGATGTTGATGAATTTGAGTTTTTAAATGGACGGGTGGTCATATATATATTATGTTTACATTATGTAGATATATGTTAAGGTCGTCGTATTTCAGGTGTATTTTTAGGTTATTTTTTAGTAGAGGTCATGTCAAAATTTTGACCTTTTTTTATTTGAGTTATGTTTCATAAATGAGTATTCAATCTTTATTGTCACTTTCGTATAATTAATAAGATTTTTGGAGTGTGAATTAGAGATATATCTCCATCGAGTTTGGTTAGTTAACTATTGTGTATAGATTATTGAGATTTGTACATACGATGACAAAGGAGGAAAGATTGTTGGTTGGCTCACGTGAGCAACAAACAATTTTTTTTATTAAATTATTAACAAAATGATGACGGGCACTGCCTGTCATTGAAAATGAACGTTTAACGACAGACATGTTTAATTGCAGACATTTAATGATGGATGGCTAATAGATGTTCGTCCACGACCGACATCATAAGCAACCGTCATTTTAGGGTAAAATAGCGGGTTATGCCCGTCATTAATTCCCGCTCGACATAAAAACTTGCAATAACACTCGAAATGATGTCAGACGCTTGTCCGACATTATTGCCCTTTTATGACGGGCCACTAGAATTTCTAATAGTGTTTTTTGTTGCATTTTCTTTCTGACTTTTTTTTCCAAAACGTAAAAGGCATGATTTTTCTGGAATAGAAATAGCATGTTCTTTTGTAAACAAAAAGACACACAATGTCACCCCAAACTTAAGGGAAATAGTGTCCTTACTCGGGAAAAGAATTTTTAGTAATGCAGAAATTTCCCAAAAAGGACAAGGACTTCCTATGATAGAGAAAAAGTTTAAGTTTAAAAACCAAAAAAAAAGTAGAACGTATCTTTATAACAAAACAAAAAGTGGAAAATCGAACATTGCTTAATCAAAAGACTAAGAAATCCAACCTATTTCAGGCATGCCCTTAATTATCCTCATCGACATGATACAAAAACAAAGAACAAAGGAAAGCAAATCATTGACAAAATGAGCTTGTTGAAAATTTAGAAAAGATGCTATTGAATCAGTAGAGAACAAACTTATGACTAGAACAAGAGGATATGCTAAGCTTAAACTTGAGGCATTTTGCACAAACAAAACAAGCAAGCATTTCAACAACTAGCAGCATCCACACAAACTAAACCTAACTAAACAAGTTCAGGATCAAGATATTAAGTGAAAGGAGGGGAATACTCCCCTAATCATCATTAGAAGAAGAATCATCGGAATGAAAAGTAGTAGTAAGGCCAATGGTGGGCCGTGAGGATGAAGGCAAATCGGCTTTGTGCCCACTCGGGAGAGAAGATGCATCGTCTCCATGAAGTTTCTTAAGATGGTTACACGTGTATGTGGAGTGGCCAAGATAAGGTTGTACTTTCACACCAACTCATCATATTGCTATCTAGTTACTACTTATCGGGTCTCGAGAACCGAAGCGGTAGGAGGAGAGTCTTCTTCACGAACTATAGAGTACCTCCGTACTCGCCTCATTGAGGTGGCCCACTTTTTGGGTGTCACCACGTCCTCCTCGTTCACTTCCACGCCAACCCTTAAACATAACTTAGTTATTGGTGAAGGAAAGAAAAAAGGGTCTCTCGTTTTTTCTGAACAAACTCGTATTTGATCTCTAATGAGTTGGCCAAAGTTGAACTCGATCCCCTTCATGAGGTAGTAGACCATCATCACCCTAGTCCTCTTGATGAAGGAGTTGTGAGAAGTAGGAATCAACTGGTTCTTGACCATATAATACTAAACCGTGGTCTTTTCATTAAGATCAAATTGCATCAAGAATAACACTCCAGTGATGGATACTATCCATGTCTTCTTAGGCCTACAAACTAACCTTTTAGCTTCCTCCACTTGCTCGTCCATTGGGTGCACAATGTGATCATTCCCCACTACATTGAAAGTATCGAGCAAACCCAAATAAGCATTAATGATCGAGGGATAGAAACTTACAAACTTACCCCTTATGCACACGACATCGTCTTTATGAGGGTGAATGCTAGCATAAAATTCCTCCACCAACTTTTCTGAGATATGGGTAGGTGGTGCATATAAGTTCTTTATTCTTGCTCCACAAGTTGGCTTTTTATGTATTCCTGGACGGGCTCTTGTTCCTCGTTGAAACATTTCTCAACTAAGAGCTTGTGGTTTGTAAAATCCAACTTTTTAACCTCAATGCAAACTCTTTCAGCTTTTGCTGGTCGTGGTACGGTTACATCAGGCTCCACGTCACCAGGCTCTATCGAGTGGTCTTCAGCATCTCAAACAACTTTAGGCCTTTTCTCCTCTATTGAGCTGCTCTCCCTCAACATCCATGCTACCACCCTCATTATCAAATGCATTTTCTCCAGTTGCTTCATTCACCACTACAAGAATTTTGACGATTTTTTAATTTGTCTTTCCCTTCTCTATATTATCAATAACCTGTTTACAAGGGTAAAAAGGAACTATTTAGGTGTTGTTTTCTATCGTTTTACACTCAGAAATCGTGTTTTAAGCTTAGTTTAGTGTCCAAAACATCTCATTCAGAGTTATCTTAGGTTATACGTGCATATATGACATATTTACATCATTTAGAGTTGATTTCTAATGGAAATTACAATTTTGTGCAAAAAAATCCAAACTAGGCGCCTTGCCCAATTCCGAGATGCCCTTAATGTAAAACACATGTTTTTGCGTGTTTTGAAGCTTCCTTCAGTTCCTCCACGTGTCTTCCATGCATTGATGATGATGACTAATTCTACAACAAACTAACTTAAAGATGTTTTAAAGGGATGAGTCCCCATGAAAGTCTCAACCTCCTAACCAATTTGAAGGCCCTATAAATATAGTATCTCCCTCACTTCATTCATCATCCTCACGTGATCATTTTTAACTTTAGACACTCTACTCTCATCTTTTTTTATATTTTTCCTTTAAGTTTTTAGTTGTTGTTGTTTTAACACTACTAGAATTTTGGGATATTGTGACGGTAGTGAACAGTAAAATACTGTTCAACATTGTTTAAATACGTCACCAAAGGTAAAAAAAAAAAGCATTTTTGGAGGGAAAAAGTAGAGAGTTCTGGATTTTTGACCTTTCGTGATGCTTTTTTTCCGTCACGAAAAACTTGAGGCGCGTTTTTTGCGGGAAATGACGGAGTGTTCCAGATTGTTGTGTTTTCGTGATGAATTTTATCCGTCACAATAAGGTGACCATTATTTTTCGTGACGTCTAAAAATGTTACGAAACACTTGATGCGCATTTTTGGCGGGAAAAGACGGAGTTTTTCAGATTGGCGGCGGCTTTTCATAATGCGTACAAAACGTCACAGAATATAATTTTTTGTGACGTTTTAGAATCGTCACGATACGATAAGAAGATTCCAGTCTTATTCGTGAAAAGGTATGGCTGTACGTGACGTTGCTTATATGTCACTATAAGTCGGAAAACTATATTTTAGTGACGTCTGATAAAACGTCACTAAAAGTTGCTTTTCGTGATAAAGTCAGTTTTCCATGGATTTTTTTTCATCAATCCAAAAAGATTTAAATAATGCTTACATTTTCAATACAATGGATTGCAATTTGATATTGCAAATCTTAAGAAAAATAAAATGCAAATTTTTGTTGAAATTTGTAAATAGGAGGAAAGAAATAAAGAAATGAACTTATAGACATTTTAAGCTAATTTGTTGGAATTGAAGTTAAGAAAACATAAAAGTCTAAAAGCGTAAAATTTATTCGAAATTTTGCACTCAGAATATTATTTAAATATTAAGGGCCAAATAATTGCAATTTTTCTTTTTACTTTGTAATTTTACCTATATATTTAACACCTAAAATTTTCATATATTTATTTTCCTTCGATCCAAAAAGATTTAATGAATCTTGAGAAATGAAATCTTGAAAAAAAAAGAAAATTTTTTTTGGAATAGGTAAATTTCAAAACATAGAGAAAAAATAGAGGAAAAATTAAAATTAACTAAAAAATCTTTTAAAAATTATTTTGTATTATCTAAAGAGGTAAATGTTACCCCTTTGTAAAAAATTCTCCTTTAGACTAAATCCATAAATCTCTATTCACTCTTTGCACGATTTCGACCTCCACGCCGCCAGACCAAAAACTCTCGGTGGAATCGAGCGCTGCTGTGGAATCGAACGTCGTAAGGGTCGAAGCCTTCGAAAAAGCCATGAAATTATTAACTTCTATAGGTTGCCAAAAAAGATATTAACTTCTTTTTACTAAAGGTGACTCGAAAACCTTCGAAAAATGTTAAAAAACTTTTACTTTTTATTTTTTTGTTTTTTTTATCAGTAAAAAAAACGTTTACTTTTAATTGAAGGTTATTAAAAGCCTCTAAAAAATGTATAAAACCTTTCATGTAACGCTATTAAAACCGTCGGAAAAAGTATATAATACTGTATTATTATTAAAAGAAATATCATTTACTTGACTTTATTAAAAAAAAAAAGATAAATAACTTAAAGAAATATCCTTACCCCTTTCTCCTTTGCCCTAAATCTCTTTACCCTCTTTCTCCATTGTGAAGAATCACCGCCTCTTCCTCCATTGTGAAGATCACGCTACTTGATCGTCCGCCACTGCGAATGCTGCTCTATGCCACCACTAGTCGCCGCCGGTGAGGATCGAACATGGCTGTGGAGCTGGCTTGAGACAATTTCCGGGTTAGGCTCAACCATTACAAGGGAATTCAGCCACGTCATTTAACTTTTCTACTCAATCACAACAAGCTACGAACTTGCAATCACTTGCTATCGTTGGATCACAGGTTCTTTTTGGATTTTAAGCCGTAAATTTGATAAATATAACTAGTTCATCATCCTTAACAGCTATCTGTACTTTACCGACGACATCTTCCCAGGTTAATGTGCTTTCTTAGCGATTTGCTTGAATTTTCGATTCTCAACGCTTTTTTTTAGGGTTCATTTGCCTAATCTAGCACGCTCTTCTCCGATTCTATTCCACTTGAATTGTATCGGTGGTCTGTTTTTGTCTTATTGGTTTTTTCACCCTGTATTTTGAAAGGAATCTCGTTGAGGGTCAAACACCGTCGCAGCAACTGGTCTTCTTCTCTCTCTCTTTTTGCTTCTTCTTCTTCTTTTCATTTCTCTCTCTCTAAAAGAAGAATCTCTGGCAAAGTTGAAAGCTTTTCTTGTTGATGAGTAATGGGGTTCCTTGGTTTTTCATGAAATCTTACAAAAATTTGGTTTCTTTATTTCGTAGTGTTAATTTTGGGGATATTATTTGCTTTGGGTTTGGCATAATTATGTGTATATAATATTTGGTCTCTGTGGTTGGGATTAATTCCTTCAATTCTTATGTTCATTATTATGGTGGTAATTTATTGCTCTATCCTAATTAGTTCATTGCACCCTTCTTTCAAATGAATGGTTGGGATTCAATTTGGAGGTTTCTTTCTTTCTTTCTTCTTCTTCTTTCTCTTCTAATTCAAGGGCTTTACTTTATTTGTTACTTCTTGCATAATTTAACACAGGAGTTTTTCTGAGGGTAATGACTTTAAGCAAAAAAGATGGGTGGAATTAGCCAATCTGTGTTGAAAGTTGCTTCTATTTTTGTTTCTGAAAGTTACTTCAATGTAGTGTAGTGGGATATTCATGTTTTAAATAGAAAATTGTTAAGATGAAATTGGGTCGATTGGAGGCACTATATTCATGTTTTATCCATTTACTTTTCTATATAACTTAACTTGATGTGTGTTGTTTTGCAGCTTGGTGTCTTTCTTGACAAGAGAGTTTTGGACCTTAGAGTTTTCCAACTTCGGACTGCCGTCTAGTTGTATCGGTTGGTCTTCTTAGAATCTTTGGTCGTGAAGTTGCTGAGCTTCCTATAATTGCCACAGGTAGAAAACATAAGGGCTGACCACCACTACTCTTCGTCAATCTTTGGGTACTATCCCTTTCTATCTTTCCTTAATTAACCATATAGGGTTTGACATTTAGTTTATGTTGGTACATTTATGAAAGTATTTTGTTGTATTGGTAGATGTGGTAAAATTGTTTAATGATGTAGAAACTTGCTGGCTATGCTAAGTTTGTCAGTGGATTTGAGAATGAATTGTTGCATGGTTGTTGTGTGGAGAGTGTATCATGAGTTTGTAAGCACGATGTATATAATCTTGTTGGCTATGCTAAGTTTATTAATGGGTTTTGGTTGGGATCTGCTTATGCTAGAAACCTTTATCGTTCGATGTTGCGATTCATTTTTTGTTTAAAACATGCTGGTGTTGTTTTGGTTTAATGTTTGGAATGATCCCATGAAAGCTTAAAAATGGATGCTGAATTTCTTTGTTTGAGTTTAAAGCGTGATAAATATTGACATTGTTTGACTTCTTTTGTTGATTAATGATACGGTCTTGGTAATAAACGTTTGGGATTTAATATTTACAAGTTGTTTTTTCTATGCTATGAACGTCTTATTGATCTTCTGTCGTCAACATTTTAGTAGTGAAATGGATAAGTCATGGATGAAGAAAAATAGATTGCCCAAAGAGTATGAAGTGGGAGTTGAAACATTCATTGAATTTGGGTTGAGTCATGCCAATGGTTCTAATTCCATCTGATGTCCTTGTTTGGAGTGTGGCAATCTTATATGCAAGGACATAGCAACCATTATAGATCATTTATATTCAAATGGTATTACCAAAGTTATAGGGTATGGTTTTGGCACGGTGAAGACTTAGGAAATATCACGGCCGACCAGACGTACAATAATGATGCACAAGAGAGTGATAAAGATGATCTCGACTTTTTTGAGGTGGGTAACTTGGTTCAATCTGTTTAGGATGAATTCTCTAATGTACCGAAATCATTTGAAACTATGTTTCATAATGCTAAGAAGCCATTGTACTCCGGATGTGGAAAGTTTACAAAAGTATCAGCTCTTGTAAGGTTATACAATTTGAAGGTGACATTTGGGTGGAGTAACTCGAGTTTTCCTAAACTTTTGTCCATAATAAGTGATATATTACCAGACCCCAATGAAATGCTGAATTCTATATACGAAGCAAAGAAAACGTTGTGTACCCTTGGGTTGAGTTATGAACAAATTGATGCATGCCCAAACAATTGTTGCTTGTATAGAAAAGAGTACGCAGATATGACTACATGTCCTAAGTGTAATTCATCAAGATGGAAAACACATAAGAATTCATCGAAGGAGAAAGAACGAGTTTCTGCTAAGCAAGTATGGTACTTTCCAATTATTCCAAGGTTTATAAGATTGTTCAGGAACTCAGGTAATGTAAAGAATCTAGTTTGGCATGCGACAGATAGGAAAGTGGATGGGATTGTGCAACATCCAGCAGACTCTCCGTCATGGAGGTTAATTGATCATATTTGGCCAAATTTTGGTTCGAAACCAAAAAATCTTCGCTTAGGTTTATCAACTGATGGGGTGAATCCATATGGTGAAAGGAATAGTACATACATTTGTTGGCCAGTAATAACAACCATATATAACCTTCCACCATGGCTGTGCATGAGGAGCAAATTTCTAATGCTTACCATGTTGATCTCAGGCTCGAAACAACCCGGCATGATATTAATACATACTTAGCCCCTCTGGTTGATGACTTAAAACTCATGTGGGAATATAGAGTGGAATGTTTTGATGCGTATAGACAATAAACCTTTAGACTAAAGGTTGTTTTAACGTGGACCATCAATGATTTTCTTGCATATGGTAATTTGTGCGCTGTAGTGTTAAGGGTTATAAAACTTGCCCGATATGTAGGGATAACACTACTTCAATTAGATTTACACACGGGAGAATGCATATATGGGCCACAGAAGATTTTTGCCGAGACATCATCTGTACAGAATGTGGGTATTACGTTATGCGATTCACGCGGGCCATTGTAAACCAACAGAGCACTTCGATCTCAGATGTAGTAAGTAATAATTTAGTCTACATGAATGTCAAAACATATGTATATATGCGAATGTCTGAACTTAATTAATTACTGATTCTATGGTTACAGATGAAACTTGAACCAAAAGAGTACACGAAAGAAGACATAAACGTGTTGAGAATGGAGTTGGCCGAGTTTGTTGGGTCCTACTTAAGTTTTAGTTAAGATATGTGTAATTATCATTTTGGGTCGACCATGAACTCATGTTTCATATAATATTCTTTTTTGCTTGCACATTGTTCGAGTTCATGGTTGATGCATTGGTAGCAACACTTTTGTTTAGCATGTTTTTTGGACTGCTGGCTACCTTATACTTTCATGGTCATTTTACCTCACGGCCAACGAAGAGAAAAACTTTGGTGTGAGTTGTTAACTATATCCCTGTTTATTCATTTGAAGTTGTAGTAGTTATAACCATTCGAATAATCTGAATATTCATACTTTCTGGTAGGACTACTTCGTCAGACACACTACTTTGAAGTATCTATTTTGTCATACAAGAAATTCTTGGTTGGCTTCGTAGCGCAACGCATATGTGGTACTGCATTATTTAAAATTTTGTTTGAATGTTATTGTTTATGGCAATTTTTTTTTAGAAAGTTCCTTTTCCTAACTTGCTTATTATTGGTTTATATGACAGGAGCAATCTTCGCACTGGAATGAGAAATTGTAAGGGTTTGAAATGCTTGTCGAACTACGTCTAGGTGAGCTGAACCATGTTGTGGCCGTTTCCATCAAAATTCCATCATAATAAAGGTAAGCTAACTTGCTTTTCGTCATTATTAATATTATAGTATTTGAATATTAAATCCTTCTGAATCGAACTTGTTATATGCTGTGACTATAGCTAATTTAGCACCTTTATCATATTATTGAGTAAGTTCATAGGGAATACTGAATATTGATTATAGACGAGGAATGTACATTTACTTTCCCGCTGCTATACTAGCTAGTTTATGCTATATTGTTTAAGTATATTTTGTGCTATGCTAAAGAAAGATATAGAAGAAGTGTTCGGTTATTTTGTTATTGTAGCTTCTTCTATTATTTTTGGAACTTTGTTTGGTCATTTTATTGGTTATCATATCATATTATTCTGTAAGTTTACAAGAGTTTATGAATACTTAATATCGATACTTTCGTTACGGGATGATTGTACGTTTACAAACCTTATGATTGTACTGATATTTTGTGCTATGTAATTTAAGGATATAGAAAAACTGTAGGCATGTCGTTCATTTTAATTGCGCTTCTTCTGTTTGGTTGTTATGTTGGTTGTTTAATTAGATTATCAAGTAAGTTGATAAGGAAGACTATGAATGTTGATGATTTGTAGTGTTGTAGAAGATTAATGTACGTTTTCAATCATTGTGATACTTCTTTAAATTTTTAAATATTATGCGATATTACTAAAGGATGTAGAAGATGTGTACGTAGGTTGGTTTTTGTATAATCAATTATGTGACGTTGGAATAGTATTTGCAAAGAATACTATTGTGATATGCTCCTAGTTTGTATATTTAAGAATGTTATTTGCAAATATCACGATCCTTTGCTATTTTTAATAGATAGACACGTTTTTTAGAAAGTGACTTTCTTACCTTATCTATCATTTGTTATTCATTTATCTAACTTGGGTATTGTTTTTTCATTAGGTCTTTCACGACCCCCAAGACGTCGACAATTAGGATTAGGAGTGCAACTAATCGATGGATGAGCTTTGTTGTCGGGGTTGGTGTGTAGGGAACATGTTTAATTCTGTAATTTTGTAATTTGTGTTTGAGAATGCTAGAATATTCTAAATTAATATATTAGTTTCCTTGTTCATGTTTAATATAGTTCAATTTTGTTAACTAAATTAATATATTTGCGTGTTCGATCGACAATTTGACGATATGATAATTCTATTACGCGACATCTACAATAAAAATTAAATACATTTTCTGTGACTCTTTTTTGATCTTCACAAAATGAAATTATTAGTGACGTTTGTAAACCGTCACAAAAATATTTTTTAGGACGATTATCGACCGTTACGAAATATACTTTTCGTGACGTTTAAACACTGTCACGAAAGGATGTCACGTGACCTGTCCTCCTCTGTTCAAGGTCTTTCCGTGACCTTTTATCACCGTCACGAAATCATTTTTTATAACGTTTTATGAACGTCGTGGAAGTCCATGTCTTTCATGACGATAATTAACCGTCATGTGTGCTAATTTTTGTGACGTTTTTTAAACGTCTCGTATACCTTTCGTGATGGGCTTATACGTGACGGCGTTAAGAATGTCACGAAAGATTTTTGTGACGTTAAAAAAATGTCACGATAAACCGAGTTTCTACTATTGTAAACTTTGCTTATTTCAAGTTAATTCTTTATTTTCCAACTTGTTACTTTTCAATTGTAAGTTTTTGATTTTATTAAGTTAAATTCCAGCAAGTTTATTCATCTTTATTCCTCTCTCTCTACCTTCGAAGAAGTTGTAATCACACAATCTTGTGGAATTGACTGAGTACTACTCCCCAATCTTGAAAGAGAATGGGTTATGATCATTCGGGTTACAATTCACCCATTTTTAGCTTGTTTTAATTATATACATCTTTTAACAATATCTCTTATTTACATCAATGTTCAATTCTATTTTCCTCTAAAGTTATGAGCTAAATTTACTTCCCCAAGCCTGGTTATGGATGTTTAGCTAAATTTTTTAAAATCCAAGAAGGCAAAAGACGTTTTTCTCTTCTTTTATCACTTAAGGTTGTTTTTTTGTAACTTAAAACTTGATTTGGCCAATTAATGTTTTAACCAAACATCAATACTCAAAAGGCTGATACATTTTCACAACTTTAAATGATCTAACTTTGGAGAGAAATACTTTAGATATAAAGATTTCGCTCGGGTAGCCTAGACATAGGACCTCGACCTAAGGTTACGGTTGATTTTTATTAAATTAAGTTTAATTTTCTAATAGACATGTTAGGGATGAATGTATACCTTCAAAATCACTTAGACATAAGAAGATGGCGAAGCAAAATCGATGAATATTTTAGAGAAGCGTTTAGCGCCTAGTTAGAAAAAGTTTAGCTAATTTGAAGTAACTGTACTGGGTTTATTGTATTGAGTCTTAAAATACCAAAACCAACATTATCCTCGATATTTGTTACCTCAAATTCAATTGCAAAGTCACCGATCAACATCATTTACTTTAAAAAAGGCTTCAATTGTCCATGTGGATCGATACTCGGAATACTCATTCTATTTTACTACTTGTGGCGGGTGTACACTTGCGCTCTTTCGTTTATTTTAAATCGAAAATCCCAAACAGTTGTGGCTGGTAGAGTGCTCTCCAAGAATGCGCCAACCACTTCTTCGCACTGGATTTTCACAGTGGCAGAATCTGAATGTTCCAGTAGCTAAGTATCATGCTCGTAATTCTTACTGCACTGTTCTACCCCTTCAAAGCCCACATAATAGTTACGGTATGTGGGGTCTGTAGTGATGATTCTAAAGGCTCAGATATGGGGGTTGGTGAATGACTACCAAATTAGGGCGGTTTTTTATCTCCTCTAACATTGTTTGCATTTGCTCATTCAATTTTCTTATACTCTCCATTGATTCTTGCCGTTGATTGTTTAAATCCGCTATACAATCACATAAATCCTCATGACCTTTTATTCTAATCTCTTGCCCACTATTTTCTTAATTCTTTCCCTCCCCGCCTTAGTCATTCTACTCTCTAACTCTTTATTTTCAGATTCTTTCACAATCATGGATGGAATACTTCTTGGGATAGGGTACAATTTATGTATCTCTTCTAGTTTGTTCAACACCGAAGGAGGCAAAGGGTCATTAGATCGAAATTTACCGTACTTCCAAGTATTTAAGGTGGCTCAAGGAGGACTAAACCTGGTGGGATGAGTGGCGGTAGAATAGTCTTCTTCTTCCCCTTCTCTTTTGTGCACGACTTGGTGGAGAAAGATCATTCAATGGCTCTTGGCTTCTTTTGCAAAAACAGAACAAAAGACTCCCTCAATCCTAACCTAAATGTGTAGAAAAATAAGAGGGAATGGAGTGATTTAAGGAATCTTGAAGAATTTGGAGAGAATTTGAATGTGAATTTAGGTTTTGGGAGGAGAAAATCGCACTAACATAGGAGATTTAGAACTTTTTTTCATTTTGATTTTAAAAATGATTTAAGGAGTGGGTATTTATACATTTCGATTTACCCTAGGCCTAGTTACAATTAAACCATAAAATAAGCCCAAATTTTTTTATTTAAAATTTCGAATTTTACTTCTTAAAATGTGCTAGCACATAATTGAACCCATCAAGTTCTCGACCCTACAAAATTCAAATTACAAAACAAAAATTATAACTGAAATCTACATCCAAAAGTCTAACTAATGGTATAAAATTTCGCAAAAATAAAACAAAAAAATATTTTACACAAAAACTCCTTCAATTCCTACAAAGGGACTATCTTTATTGTTTTTCACAAATCCTACAGCAATATAGAGGCTTTACCTCTCCCAATGTACTTACCAAAATATTTATTCACTCTATGCCCATTTATCTTGATGATATTTCCTTTACTATCTCTCAAATCCACAGCTCCATGTGGATAAACTTTTTCAAATAAGAACGGGCCTGACCATCTAGATTTGAACTTACCTCGAAATAACCTCAAACAAGAATTAAATAATAATACAAAATCACCAGGTTTCAAGTTCTTAGACATAATTTTCTTATCATGTCATTTTTTAGTTTGATCTTTATATATTTTAGTATTTTCATAAAAAAATTTCTAAACTCATCCAACTCATTCAATTGCAACAACCTCACTTCACCTGCAGCATAAAAATCAAAATTCAGTTTTCTAGTAGCTCGAAAAGCTCTATGTTCATGTTCAAGAGAGAGATGACAAGCCTTACCAAAAACTAAACGATATGGGGACATACCTAAAGGTGTTTTAAATGCAGTTTTATATGCTCATAGTGCATCGTCCAGTCTAATAGTCCAATCTTTCGTATTTAAATTCATTGATTTTTCTAGAATTGATTTTATTTTCGTATTAGATACTTTCGCTAAACTATTGGTTTGACGGCGATAAGCAGTTGCAATTTTGTGATGGATATTATATTTGTTTAATAAATTGCTCACCGCGCTATTAAGGAAATGAGTGCCCTCGTCACTAATCAAACATCTCGGGTCCCATATATTGTAAAAATAAATTTTTGAGGAAAGAGAGAGGCTACCTTGACATCATTTATAGGAGTCGCTAAAGCTTCAACCCATTTTGAAATGTAATCAACGACCAAAAGGTTATAGTTCTTACCAAACGACGACGCAAATAGACCCATGAAATCGATGTTCCAACCATTAAATTGTTCAACCTTCATAATTGGATTGAAGGGCATTTCATGTTTCTGAGTCAAATTACTTGAACGTTGGCATCGGTCACAACTTTGGGCAAACAAATGCGTGTCTCAAAATAATGAAAGCCAGAAGAAACCACTTCGGAGGATCTTCGCTGTAGTTTTAGGCCCAGCGAAATATCTTCCATTGGGCAATTTATGGCAGACTACACATTCTCTTTTTGCTTCTGCTCCACTACAAACCTGCAAAGTATGTTATCAGGGTCAAATTTAAACAAGAAAGACTCATCTCATCTATAAGACCTAAGCATCATGGAAGAACTTCTTTACTTGGTGTTTACTTAAATCATCAGACACAGTATAATTCAACTGACTACTATTCAAAGTTTTACTGGCATAATAATAGAATGAATAATTTTACCTTTCCGCTGACCTAACATTGCACCCACTGCAAAATCACTAGCATCACACATAAGTTCAAATGGCAAATTCCACTCAGTTGAATTATAATGGGCGCTGAATTAAGTGCGTCTTTTAATGTATCAAAAGCTTTCAAAAAGATTTCATCAAAGTCAAACGGGTGATCCACTTCTACCAATTGGCATAAGGGTTTAGAAATTTGTGCAAAGTTTTTAATAAAACGGCGGTAAAAACCCGTGTGTCCTAGAAAACTTCTTCTTACACCTTTCAGAGGAGTGGGCGAGGGTAGTTTAGCAATTAAATCTATTTTCTTCCTATCGACTTCAATTCCTTTTCCTGAAATTTTATGACCCAAAACTATTCCTTCGCATACCATGAAATGAGACTTATCCCAATTCAATACAAGATTAGTATCCTCACATCGTTCCAAAACATTTTCTAAATTTTGCAAACAGATTTCAAAAGATTCTCTAAAAACAGAAAAATTATCCATAAAAATTTCTATCGTTTGCTTTAACAAATCATACAAAATTACAGTCATGCATCTTTGAAAGGTAGCGAGAGCGTTACAAACACCGAACAACACCCTTTGGAATGCAAACGTCCCATAGGGGCACGCAAAAGTAGTATTTTCTCTGTCCTCTGGTGCTATCGTGAACTGGTTGTAACTAGAATACCCATCTAAAAAGCAATAACACTCATTCCCTGCAAAACGATCAAGCATTTGGTCAATAAAAGGAAGTGGAAATGGTCTTTTCTAGTTACCTTGTTCAACTGACCTTCATATTTTTGGAAGACTATTTATATATATGAATCTAATGATATCCCGATTTAAGGTCAATATTGGAGAAAATGCAGGATCCATGTAACTCATCGAAAAGCTGTTCAATAACTGGAATTGGAAACTTATCAGGAATTGTCGTCGAATTGAGTACCCAATAATCAACATAGAATCTCCAACTCTCATTTTTTTAACAAACAAAACCAGAC